CCCCTCTCAGGCGCTGGCCGCCAGCCCCGACCCACCCAGCGGGGGAATCCTGCAGCCCCTCTCAGGCGCTGGCCGCCAGCCCCGACCCACCCAGCGGGGGAATCCTGCAGCCCCTCTCAGGCGCTGGCCAGCACGGTCCCAGGGGCAGGGCCAAGGGACTGCAGTCTGCCGGGGCAGCTCTGCGGCAGCTACCCTGCGGTTGTTACTAGCGCTGGGTCGATCCCGCTGGCCTGGGGCCGTCTCCTTCCCGCCCGCAGTGGAGACGAACCCCCAGCAGGAGGTGCTGTCAGCCCACTGGGGAGCCTGGTGGGGGGCCGCTCTGCACTCCCCTTCCCGGCTGTGGAGGATGCGCCAGTCCTGCTGCGGGCACTCAGCCCTGCAGAGGGGCCGGGGAAGTCTGGCAGGGAGGGGAGAGCAGGAGCCCCTTGGAGACACCTGTCCATAGAAATGGGGGCCTGCACTAAGGGGCTCCGCCGGACCTTGCTGGGGGCCAGCGGCCGAAGGGCCGACACAGCCCAAGTGACAGCAACAAGCCCAGGGGCTGGCGCGAGAGGCGAAGGGACCCCCAACACGGCAAGGCCCAGCTAGCAAGGGCCAGCACCTCGAGTGTGTCCCCAAACCCAGCGGGGTCCCCCCTGGAGCACAGCGGGTTAGGAGACCCCGACACAGGGACGGCGTACCCCCAAACACCAGGGAACACAGGCTGCAAATGGGCAGCGTACCCCAGACCCCCATAGCCCCAAGCCCCCCAAAGGCCTATACGAAGGGACAGTGCACCCCTACATGTACTGAGGGCACCCCCCCCCCAGCCAAGCCCAGCCATGGTCCAAAGGGGAGCGTTCATCCAACCCCCCCATCTGTGCACCCCAAACCTGGCAGGAGCAAGTACCACACAAAGGGACAGCGCATCCCCAACACGCCAAGGACACGTGGAGGGCAGGGGGCAACACGCTAATGACATGGAGCGCACAGGGGGCAGCACGGCTCGAAACACGCCCAGGATGGCCAGCAGCTGTAGCTAGCGAGGTCGCTGGCAATCAGCTAGGACAGGCTGGGGACTTGGCGGGAGGCCAAACTGAGGCGAAGCGCAGCTCCAGCCCGAGCAGCCCCACGCCCTGCCCTGCCCGGGAGCCGAGCAGCAGACGCTGGTACCTGCTCAGAAGGTGCCGAATCTCCAGGCGACAGCGCCACGTCCGCCCTTGGCAGAGCCCCTGGGAACGGTGCTTCCTGCGTCCTTCAAACCCGCTGCTCTGCGTCCCCTGCCCGCCCCGCTCCCCGCTGCCTGTAACAGGACACCTGGCAGCCAGCCTCCCTGCGGCCCTACATGGCATCCTGAAATCGGCCACCCCCGCCTGTCCCTCTCGCCCGCGTGCCCCTGGCCTGCCTGAGACCCTGGCTAGCAAAGGGCCAAGGACACGTCCCTGCCCACGATGCCCCTTCTCTGCCCCCCCAGGCAGCTGGCAGCTATCGCCCGTGGCTGCCCGTCCTGACCCAGACCTGGCCTGGCTCTAGCACCGGCTGCCACTGAGCTCCTCTACCCGGAGAACGGCGGCTCCTCCCTGGAGACGGCTCCTCCCGCCCCCAGCCGGGCAGCACACAAGCCAGGCGGGGGCACGACTGGGCCTGGCCATGCTGCCCTTCCTCGCCTGCACGGGGGGAAGTAGGGACCTAGGTGGGCGGGTGTCAGAGGGCAGCCACTGCCAGGGCACCCTCCTGCAGCAGGCCGCAGCATGGCAGACATGCCTGCCTCAGTTTCCCCCTTTCAGAGTCCCCAGTAACTCCACACACTCTGTCTTGCCTCACCAATAGCCTCCGTGGGGCTGGTTTATTATCAGGCATTGCGCAGACCGTCTCACACCTCGGTTCTTTTTCTCCCCCAAGATCACCCAACGTCCCGGCCCACGACAGTCCCTGCACCCCATCTCACACACGGGCACCCGGACGCCCTGGCACTCCCGCTCTGTCCTCGTACCAGCAGAGCCGCCTCAGTGTTACCCTGCTCTGCTCAGTGGGGAGCCCCCAACCTCTCGCCTGGGAGAGCCCCTTTACTGGGGAGCCTCCCTCCGTAACCCCCATCACAGAGTGCGGGGGGACACAAGGCCGTGCACCCCCGGCTTCCTGCGATTCCCCATGACTCTCAGCCAGCCAGTAAAGCAGAAGGTTTATTTGGATGACAGGAACACAGTCCAAGACAGGTCTTGCAGGCACAGACAACAGGGACCCCCTCAGTTAGGTCCATCTTGGGGTCCCAGGGCATCCCAGCCCCCCTTGGGAGGTCAGAGCAATCTCTGCCTCCCCACCATCTCACCACCCAGCTTCCAACACTCTGCCTTCAGCGACCCCTCCCACAGCCTTTGTTCAGTTTCCCGGGCCAAGGTGTCACCTGGCCTCCAACCCCTTCCTGGGTTCTCATGTTACATGCTCAGGTATCTTCCCTCAAGGCCAGTCTCCCATCCCCCGATGCAGACTATCCTAGCCACACTCCCCTGTCAGCATTCCCAGACCACAGTACGAACAGTCCCAGTTCGTCACCCCCCCACACACACCCCCATGGCTCTTATGGGTCTAGCTTGCTCCGCTGCGCTCCGGAGCCTTCAGCTCTCACCAGGCCCCCTGCCCCATTTGCTGTTCTGCCTTCAGCTTCTCCCCAGGGCCCAGACCTACCTGGGCCTGTCCCCCCCTCCGCTTTGCCGGGCCCCTGACAGCCCCCCCCTCCTCACTGGCCAAAGGGGAGCCGCTGCCCTGGCACAGGGGCACTGCCTCTGCCTTGTTCCCAGCTGCCCTGGGGCGGGGAGTGTGACAGTGCCCCCTGCACTCACCTCCCGTGGCCCAAAACATGCCCCGCCAGGACTGAAGGGGAGGATGTCGCAGTGGGGCAGGAGGCTGGGGGCCCAGCCAGGGGCCTGCACCTTCCCTGCCATGCAGGGGAGTGCGGCTGCGGCAGCGCTGGGCTGAAGTGGACGAGCCGCCCTGGTCTCAAGGTGCCCCAGCCCCTGCCAACCCCACCGAGCCCGCATCCTTCCCCCAGGCCAGAGCCCCCGCAGAGCAGCCTGGAGCCAGCCAGCGGCACATGGCCCCCTCCCTCCGCCACCACAAGGGCACCGGGAGCAGAGTCCCCAGCCCAGGACTCGCTGCGCCCGGCAGGGCTCTGACCAGGCTGCAGCCCGGGGTGGGGGGGTGGCTGAATGGGGCACGGCCCCGGGGGACTCCGTGCAGCCTGAGGGTTGGATGCCAGAAGGGTGGGCGTGGGCGTGTACAAGCGTGTGTGAGCGTGTACATGTATGCTCCAGGGCACCAGGGCTGAGTGGGCCAGGCCGGTCCCCTTCCCACCCTGCCCGAAGGAAGGCGACATACTCACCAAGACACTCAGCAACCCCCGGTGCAGGGGGGCCCCTAAATCTGGGACTAATCACAGCCCACCCGCTCCCCCGCCAGGCTGGGCCATGGGAACGGGGCACCAGCCGTCCCCAACCCCCACCCAGTGAGGGCTGGAGGAAGTGGGGGAGGGAGTGGGGGGCGCTGTGCGCTGCTTCGGGCAGTAGGAGGGAGGCGGCACTGCCCGCTGAGCCGGGGAAGCTGTTGGGTGTGCCCAGGGACACCCCCCCCATGGTGCCCCCCGCCCAGCCCGGAGCCCCCCCGGGAGCTCGCCCTGGGCTCAGAGCCAGCCCCAGAAATAGCGGCTGGTATGTGGGTGGAAGGGCAGCGGGATAAATAAGGAGCAAGGGGGCTAGGAGCAGGCGGGGGAGGCAGGGGAAGCGCAGTGACAAAGGAGGCACCAGGCTCAGCCCCCCATGGGAATGGGCAGCGCCCACCTGGGGCTCCCTGCGAGTTCCTCCCCCAGGGGTCAGCGCCCCTGGGAACTGGGGGCTTGTGAGGGGGCCCAGGCCCGGCTTCAGGCTGGCTCCCCCAACTGGGGTTGGCCCTAGGGAGACCCCCTCCCCTTCCTGCTGCAGCCTCTGATGCGGACAAAGGGTCCCTGGAGTCTGGGCCCCCCCCGGGCTGCTGCGTCGGCCCCTGTCCGTCCTTCGCCTGGCGAGAACCCGCCCCCAACAGCCCCGGGAACCGGCCGCAGCACCCGCGTGGCACCTGTGCCCGTCTCACAGCAACCTTAACGAGCCAGCGCGTCATCAGTGGGCAAACGAGCGCCCCTCCCTCCGGCATGCGCCGCACACCGCTCGTGGCAGGGCGTGAACGCCGGGCTCACCACGAGGGGGTCCCCTCACTGTCCCAGCTGGCCCCGGGGCCCTCTGGCCCCGCCTGCCCCTGCTCACTGCCCAGCTCCCCACGGGGCGAGGGGGGCGGCGGGAAGTGCAGGAAGAAGAGGGCCTCGTAGGAGAGGGGGAAGGGCGGGGCGGGCAGCGGGCAGCAGGCCAGCGAGCCCAGCTCCAGGGCCAGCACCGTGCCCAGCTCCGGTGCCGCCATGAAGAGGCGGCTGCCCCAGGCCACGCCCTGCCCTGCCAGGCTGCACTTGGGCAGGCTCCGCGCAGGGCCCCAGCGCCGGGCCCCCGGGCTGAAGGAAATCACCACGTTCTCCTGGGCGTTGCCCCCCACCACATAGAGGGGCTCCGAGCCCCCCAGGAAATAGAGACCGGGTAGGTCGGCGTCGGCTCGCGTCAGCGTGGGGAGCAGCTCCTGCCACGTGTCTGCAATGAGAGAGAGGGTGGGACGGGCGTCGCCCCCGCACCGGTCCAGACCTCACCCCACCTGGCCCGGCCCCAGCCTCACTCTGCCCGCCCTCACCCCAGTCCCCCCATCCTCAGTCCCACACCTCCATGCCCATCCTCACCCTGTGCATCTCATCCCCCACCCTGCCTGGAACTTGCCCCACCCCAGCCCACCCCCCACTCAACTCCCCCTACCTTCATCCCAACCCACTCCCCACCCCCACCGTTGCCCCAGCCTCACCCTGCCCAACCCCCTGCCCAAGTCTCCTCCCCCTTCCCTCCCGCGAGGCCCATCAGCCTGGGAGCTGGGAGGCTCCCTAAGAGACGGCCCAGCAGACACCGGGCGCGGGCCAGGGACTCGCCCGTCCGCAGTGGCTCTGATCGCAGCCCAGCCGCAGGGAGGAGCAGGCGGCTGAAGATGGGGCTGAGATGCTGGACTGCCCGGGGGGGGGAGGGGGGGGGCAAATGGGGCAATTTGCCCCAGGCCCCCATGAGAATGTAGTATTCTATAGTATTGCAACTTTTTTTTTATGGAACGGGCCCCCGAAATTGCTTTGCCCCAGGCCCCCTGAATCCTCTGGGGAGCCCTGCTGAGATGGGGACGAGGCTCCGTGTGGCACGGCTGGGCACCCTGGGGCCCGGGCAGTGCTAGGCGCTGGCTCTGCTCACCTGCCCCGACGTCGTAACGCAGCAGCAGCTTCTCGCCCGTCCTCTGCAGGCTGCCCAGGGTGTAGATGCTGCCGGCGTGAGCTGCGCAGAGCGGCAGGTCGTGGGACAGCGAGACGGCGAAGGTGAAGTCGGTGAGGGGCAGCGAGGAGACGAAGGCCCACGAGTCACTCCAGGGGTCGTAGCGCTCCACCGCCGCGTACAGAGCTGTGCCGCCGTCCGGCGCCAGGAGCGTGTCCAGGTACCAGCCCCCGATGGCATAAATCCGCTGCCCCACCACCGCTGTGCTGAAGTGCCGCCGGCGCTGTGAGGAGAGAGCGGGCCGGGGGGCTAGGAACTCAGGGCTGACCCCACCGGGAGCCTGTCACCCTGGTGTCTGGGTGCGGCTCCCAGCTGGGGCGGGGGGCAGCGTGTGGCCTGGGGGTCCAGGCTGGGAACTGGGGGTGGGAGCATGGCACTGGGAGGCTCAGAGCCTGGGGCAGCTGGTCCCACATCCCATCCAGCTGCGAGTGCCAGGGGCCTTCAGAATGGGGCCTTCATGGGGGAGCCGAGTGCCAGCAGGGAGAGGGCAGAGAGCGAAGTGGGGCCACTGAGGCAAGGGGGCTCTGACCTGCAGCAGCGGGGTAGGGGGCTGCCAGCGGTGGGTGAGGGAACTGTAGCGAGGGGGTACCTGGGCACAGGGGTACCAGGGCACTGACCTTCAGCAGCGGGGTAGGGGGCTGCCAGCGGTGGGTGAGGGAACTGTAGCGAGGGGGTACCTGGGCACAGGGGTACCAGGGCACTGACCTTCAGCAGCAGGGTAGGGGGCTGCCAGCGGTGGGTGAGAGAGCGGTAGCAGGAGAAAGGGTACCAAAGTGTGACGAACTGGGACTGTTCTTAATGTGGTCTGTGAATGCTGAGTGGGGAGGTTGGCTGGGACGGTCTGCATTGGGGGATGGGAGACTGGCCTTGAGGGAAGATACCTGAGCGTGTAACACGAGAACCCAGGAGGGAACTGGGGCCAGGTGACACCTCTGCCTGGGAAACTGGACAAAGGCTGGGGGAGGAGCCGGGAGAGGCTGGGGGAGAGACGCTGGAGGGAGTTAGAGGGTCAGGAGCTGGCTGGTGTAATGCAGGGGAGCCCAGACGGGGCTCTGACACCCCAACGGGGCTGTGGTGCCCCTGGGACCCAAGATGGACCTAACTGGGGGGGGGAGGGGTCCTGTTGTCTGTGCCTGCAAGACCTGTCTGGACTGTGTTCCTGTCGTCTAAATAAACCTTCTGCTTTACTGGCTGGCTGAGAGTCATGGTGAATCGAAGGAAGCTGGGGGTGCAGGGCCTTGTGTCCCCCCACACTCCGTAACACAAGGTACCAGCCACTGACCCCCAGCAGCAGGGGTGGTGGGTGAGGGAGCAGTAACAGAGGGGTGAGGGGTACCGGGGCACTGACCTTCAGCAGTGGGTGAGGGAACGAGGGCAGGAGCGGGGCATGTGATGAAGTGGGAGGGTTCCCCTCATGTTGTATGTGAGCCTGAGTAAGTCTTACTGTTCTGCATGAATACTGTGTGCCTCAGTTTCCCTGTGTACTGCACCGGTGCCTGGGTGGTGGGGATAAGGGCCTGTGTCTTTTGCTGAGGCCCTTGGGGGCAGGTGAGGCAGCTCCAGCTGCTTGCAAGTAGGCGATGGCCCCGGAGGGGGACACGGCCGGGTGACACTTTACCCTGGAAGCAAGACAAAGACCGGAGGAGTGGCAGTGGGCATGTGGGAGGTCGGGCCGCTGGAGGGGTCAGTCTCCTGTTTGGGACTCGGAGTGGGGAGTCCAGGGGCACGAGGCCCTGGGGGTCCCCAAGATGGACTTGGCTGAAAGTTCCTGCTTTCTGGGTAAAACTCTGTTCTACGCTGTGTCCCAACGACTGTGTTGCATGCTGGCTGGGAGTCCCGGCTGACTGCGGACAGGGCCCCTCTGGCTTCCCCAGGGATCCCGTCCTGGAGGCCCTGCCAAGGGGAAGGGCACAGCGTGAACAGGGGGCTGAGTGCTCCGAGGTCAGACCCAGGAAGGCCGTAGGTGGAAAGGCTCCTTGCCCGGGGGAGAGTCCCGGTGCCGGAGTCCTGGCTTTGCACAGAGCAGTTTCAGAGCACCAGGCCTGAGAGTCCGTGAGAGGAGGTCACCATAAGTGGGAAGTGGGCAGCAGTGCTGGGTGAGGGATCGGTAGCAAGAGGGGGGGGGTACCAGGGCACAGGGTACTGACCTTTAGCAGCAGGGTAGGGGGCTGCCAGTGGTGGGTGAGGGTGCAGTAGCGGGGGGAGGGGGTACCAGGCATGGGGGTGTGACAAAGTGGGACTGTTCTTAATGTTTCCTCTGAAAACTGCAGTTTCCCCTATGCATTTCTTAAGTCTCTAGGTGGTGGGATAAGGGGGTGTAATTGTTGCAGAGCAAAGGGCCAGTGCACCTAAATGGCCGACACTCTGTCACCTGGCAACTAATGGCCGGGGGCCCTTCCCCCCTGCAAAGTGATAGCTGAAGGTGTTGGAGAACAAAGAGATCAGGTGACCGCCTGGTCTGGGAAAGAGACAAAGGCCAGAAAGGAGGGGCTGGAGACAGTCAGTTTGGGGCTGGCTGGGGACGGGAAGTGAGTGCAGACAGGGGTGTCTGGCTTGCTGCCCCCCAGGATGGACCCAGCTGAGGGGTCCTGTTCTCTGTACCTACAAGCTCTGTTTTAGACCATGTTCCTGTCATCTAATAAACCTCCGTTTCCCCGGCTGGCTGAGAGTCACGTCTGACTGCAAACGGGGGGTGCGTGCAGGTCCTCTGGCTTCCCCAGGACCCCGCCTGGGCGGACTCGCTGTGGGAAGCGCACGGAGGGGCATATGCTGAATGCTCCAAGGTCAGACCCAGGAAGGTGAAGCCATGTGAGCTTCTTGCCCTGAAGACAGTCTGCTCACAGAGAGGAGACTTCACCAGAGTCCTGACTGGCTTCGTAGGGAGCAGTTCCAGAGCATCGCCCAGGGACTCCATGACAGGGGGACCAGGGCACGGGGCACTGACCTTCAGCAGCGGGGTAGGGGGCTGCCAGCACTGGGTGAGGGAGCAGTAGCGGGAGAGGGTACCAGGGCACGGGGCACTGACCTTCAGCAGCGGGGCGGTGGGCTGCCAGCAGCCAGCCAGCGGGTTGTAGCGGAAGGCTGCCATGCGGAAGGCGAACCCACGGGCCCCGCGGCGCTCCCGGTAGCCGCCGATGAGGAACAGGTAGTTGAGCAGCTGGGCGGTACTGAAGCTCCACTTGTCGGCCCGGAAGGGCAGCCCGGTGGCCCGGCGCCAGGTGCCCCCCTGGCCCAGGGGGAGGCAGTAGAGGCCGCGCAGGGGCTCCATGTCGGGGGTGGCCGGGGCCCTCAGGTTCTCCTTGTGGAGCACGCACAGCTGCTGGGGGCCCCGCGTCCGGAGCCCTGCCAGCTCCTCCTGCAGCGCCGGGGCCAGCTGCCCCGTGACGGGCGCCAGCTCCAGGAGCTGGGCGCTCAGGTACTGGCACAACACGGCCCGCATCTCCGGGCAGCCGATGGCCTCGGCAAAGCGCAGGTAGGACAGGCAGTTGTGGGGGCACAGGAGGGGGCGCAGGGCCAGCCAGCACTGCTCCAGGAAGGAGGGCACCAGCAAGTAACTGGCAGCCTGGACAGCGGGCAGCAGCTCCTCCTCACCCAGCCTGAAGTGCCCCAGGAAGACAAACTCCAGGATGGCGCAGAAGGCGCCCGATGGGATGTGCTCCAGCACCAGCCGCCCCTCCGCAGCCTCCTGCATCTGGGAGCGGGCCAGCGCCCCGAAGTACGCGCTCTCCTCAGCCAGCCGGGCCAGCTCCACCTGCGGGCACCAAGAGACCGGGGGCTGCTAAGCTGGCCTGGCCCAGCTCGGGCAGGGAGGAGTCGGGCTGGGGGCAATGCCATGCTGGGTTGGGCCTAGGGCAGGGGGACGCCAGCTCCCCCGGGGCAGCACGCATAGACTCCTGTCCATTTTATCCTCAGCTGGTGCTGGGCCCCTGTGGGACTCGGCCTGCCCCAGCCTCCACCTGCAGGCGGTGGGGCCAGCACCAAGGGCTGGGACCTGCACCAGCAGCTCCTTGGGGCAGAGGCAGGCTGGGGACAAGGGATGGGGGGAAATGAGAGGGAATAGGACTGCTGGGCAGGGGCTCCCCTCATCCCTGCTCCCTGGCGCCACAGGCTCTGGGCACAGGGAGCTGTTCCCAGGTGGGAGGGGGTAGCTCTGGGGTACCAAGACCCTTGGCCCTGGTCTCATCACCCCACACCAGGGCCCCCACCTGACACGCTGCGCTGGATGCAGCCACTGGGCGCAGCCCAGACCTCACCCCACAGCTCTGCTGGGCAGCTGCCACCTCCCCACAAGGGGGCATCTCCAGGCCGGGGTCTGCAGACCCACCCAGGGTGCTATTCTGGCCAGAGACAGGCCTCCGTGGTCCCAGCAAGCCCCTTTCCTGGGCTGGGCCTGGCCCATCGCTGGGACGAGCCCATGGCCACAGGCCTGTGGGGCTGCCGAAGTGGCACGGCCCCAGCGGAGACCCAGGCCTGGCCCGTGAGGGTGGCAGCCAGCAGGAATCCACGCAGGTGGAGGCTGGGACCTGCAGCCTGAGGGCACCTTGGCTCACCCAGGGACGGGGCAGAGGGGACCCAGCGGGTGCTTTGGGCTGTAAGCCGCTGGGCACAGAGCCCCGGGGGGAGACCAACCCCCTTGGCGCCAATGGGGAGGGGCTCACGGGACGCTCTGCTCCACTGGGCGCAGGCCCTGCCAGTGGCGGGGACGGCAGGCTGAGGCAGTGTCCCAGCCGTGGCGCTACATGCACCCAGTCCCAGCCCGCCCACGGGTGAGGGGCCCGGGGCCCCGGCCTGCACCCTGCCCGGCAGGACACCCAGGCCCCCAAGCAGTAACACGCAGCCTGTGCAATGGCATTGGCGAGGCCCCGTGGGGGAGCAGGCTCCGGTAGCAATGCACAGCACCAGGAAGGTGGGCAGCATACCTGGAAGGCACAGGGATCTGTCTGGGCGGTAACGAGGGGCAGCCCCGCCCCTCGGCTCCGGTAGACCCTCTGCTCAAGGCTGTTCCCCCAGGGCTCTGCCCGTGGTGCCAGGCCGCCTGGTCCCTTGCTGGGCAGCAGGAAGAAGCTCATCAGGGTGCGCAGGACGCACAGGAGGCAGCTCAGAGCCCAGCCAGCCGCAGCCCTCGGGGGGCGAGTCACGGCGTGCCAGGCTGCAGCCCACAAGCCTTCGCCCCCCCACCTCTGGCAGCGCAGAGTGGCACAGAGCGCCCTGCGGGGCATGGCCAGCGGCAGCTCCTGCAGGCACGTCCCCGGCTGAGCGAGGGGCAGCCGGCAGGGCTGGGAGCTCCGGGCACGGGCCGCCACAGGAATCTCGGAGCAGGCAGGAGGGCCGAGCTATTTTTAACCTGCTTGCAGGCAGCGAGCAGGAAAGCCGAGCCCGCCTGCGCCCCATGCCAGCGCGGAGGCAGCAGGGCTCCTGGCCAAGCAGAGCAGCACAGGGAGCGCCCAGGCTCCACAAGCGGCTCCTGCCGGCTAGGCACTGGCGCCAGGCAGAGCGGGCACTGGATGGCACCCCAGCCTTTGGCTGTCCTGTCACAGTGCAGCCTGGAGCAGCAGGGCGAGGCTTGGGAGGACAGCACGACATGGCTGCGGAGCCTGCCCCAGGCAGGAGCGGGCACCGCCGCGGATCGCGGACATGCCGCTCTGGCTGGTAGCCGGGGAGCACCAGCACGGCCGGGGGCCCAGCAGCAGAGCCCCGTGGCTGGCGGGGCCGTGACGGCTCCAAACACGCTCCCCCCTTCCACGCTGCCGGAGCCAGGGGGCTGGGGCATTAGGGCTAGGCCGCGCTGCGCCTCTCCCAAGCCAGCCTCCCCTCCTGCTGCCAGTCACAGTGCCCATGTGCAGGCCTGAACCCCCCCACTGCACACAGATCAGGCCTCGGCGCCCACTGCCCTGGGGGACCCACGCAGCTCTGCAGCCTGGCAGGGACCTCCCCAGGGCAGACGCTGGGTCTGGCGGCCGGCCCCCAGGACACTGAGTGCCCTGGGCAGGAGGAGGGATGGCCAGACAGACGGACACAGGCAGACAGTGCCAGGCATTTATTGGTCTGAGTGCAGAGTTCACAGTCCATTGCTAGGCAGTGGAGGGCCCTGCCAGGGGCCCGGTTCCGAGGGGGCGGCAGCAGCAGGCTCTGGGGACTGGCAGGGAAAGCAAGTGCAGAGCCCCGGCCACGGGGCCCAGGCAGGGAGGAGCTTTGGGGCAGGGCTGTGGGAGGCAGCCCCCACCCACTCCCCCAGACGGAGCAGGGGACACCCCGCTAGAGCCCACCCCCCCATTCCCAGCAGCGTGAGAGGCGCTGGAGCCAGGCCAGCACTGCCTGCGGGGGCAGCAGCCCTACAAACGCCCCCTGCTTCTCCAGAAAAGGGGCCAGCAGGAGGGGCCCGGCAGGGGGCAGGGGCAGAGCATGCAGGTCTCCCCCTGTAGCCCACACTCGCTGAGCCCCAGGGGATCCCAGGTCACATCGGCAGGCAAGAAGGGCACTGGGGCAGCAGAGCTGGGCAGCGCCACAGGCCAGGGGAGGCAGAGACACAGGGACAGAGGCAGACGCACATGTGGCACATTCAGCTCCCAGCGCGCAGGCCCAGCGCGCAGCCTCCAGTGCACTCGCAGGGAACCAGGGGAGTCGGGCCCCTCCTGCCCCAGGGAGGGGGCCGAGGCTGCAGCCGCCCTGCTCAGCGGGACCCCCATGGCCACACGGAGACATCCGACACTGGGCAGTGGGGAGAGCCGGCCCCACACCGCCCCCCTGGAGGGGGTGGGGATCCTCACACCAATTCGGGGAGGGCAGTCCCTGCATTCACTCCCCACACCGGAACATTAACCGTTTCCCACCCAGACCCCCAGACCCCACCCCCGCTCACTGGCCAGCCAGGGCAGCCCCCCACCCCTCACCCCAGGAGGCAAGGGAGGCTGTTCTGGGGGCATTGGTCCCTTGGGGTCCTTGCCAGCTGCTGTCCCTTTGGCAGGGAGGGGCCATTCCGCTGCTCCGTCTGCAGCCCGGCGAGCCCGGGGGCCTGATGCAGGAGGCAGGCGAGCGCGGGGCAGGCAGAGCCGGGCTGGTCACGGGCACTGCGCCTTCTGCTGGAAGTAGGCCTCGAAACGGCACTGCGCGTAATCCTGTGCAGGGAGAGAGCGTCAGGCTGGTGCAGGGCCAGAACAGGGACCCCTCAGAGTCCCCCAGCCATGGGGGCAGGGCCAGAACAGGGACCCCGCGCAGCCCCCCCAGCCGCGGGGCCAGGGGAGCCCAGTCACCCCACGCAACCCCCAAGCGGAGCCAGGAGAGCCCAGTCACCCCGAGCAGTCCCCCCAGCCGCGGGGGCAGGGGAGCCCAGTCACCCTGCGCAGCCCCCCCCAGCCGCGGGGGCAGAGCCAGAACACAAGGACCACGTGCAGCCGCGCTGAGGGCCTGGCACAGGAAGGTAGCGGGTACCCGCAGTGCTCAGCAAAGGGAGAGCTTAGGACAGACGCCCCTCAGGATGCTGAACCAGGCTGGCCCCCCTGACCTGTCCCCATCTCAGCAGTGGGAGCCCCGTGGGCAGTGCCCCGTGGGAGCCAAGGGGCAGAGTCGCCCATGCCCCGTGCTCACCAGGTAGCCGAACTCAATGGTGGAGATCTTCGCCTGCAGGATGGACCAGAGGCCCCAAAAGAAGTGAGAGGCCAGAGCAAACCTGAGGGGAGAGAGCAGCTGTTGGGGAGATGCTGGGAGAGACCCCCCCCCCCCCAGTGCCATGTCCCAGACTCCACCCGAAGCCTGCACAGCCCCCCCAGTCCCGCTGGCTCCCTCCCAGAGCCCCTCAGGCACCCCCAGTCTGTGCAGCAAGGCTGGGAGAAGGAGCCTGCAACAGATGCCTGACTGCACTGGAGGGCTCTTTAAAGAGATCTGTCCTTGGGGAGGGCAGCAGAGTGGGGGTCCCCCTGCACCCGCTCCGTGTGGGGGAAACGGGGGTGGGGGTCTCCCCTTGCCGCCCATGGTCATTCACTCACCGGCCGATCTCAGTGAGCATCTCCTCCTCGATACGGGCCTGCTCCTCGTGCGTGGTGTCCCCGCACCGCCCCGAGTCCTCCCACAGGTAGTGCTGGATGAAGTGCAGCTGCAGGCAGGTTGAGCAAGTCTCAGCCTCAGGCCCCACATGCAGGGTGGGGAGCTGGGCTATGCAGGGGAGGGGGAATCTAGGGCTCTGCCTACCTGCCCAGCTGGGCGAGGCCCAGAGTGAGTTGGGTACTCCTGGGGGAATTCTGCACCACTGCGCATGCGCAGAATTCATGTCCCCCACAGAATTATAGATTCTGCCTGGGAGGCGCTGCAATTACACCTTCTATGCACCAGAGACTGTTGTGGACCCAGAAGAGAGGGCAGCTGGCTCGGGGCGGAGCAGCCAGCCGCAGAGAGGGAGGCCGAGAGGCTGCATTCCTCACAGCACCCTGCCCGCGGGGCCAGGTGAGGAGGCATGGGATATTGGGAGGGGGACAGCACAGGGCACACAGGCTGCGGGCGGTCACATAGACTAGGGTTCAGAAGGACTAGTGGGGGGGGAACAGGAGCTAGTGGGGTGACAGCACTGACCCACGGGCTGAATGGGAGTGGGGTACAGTGCTACATGGGGATGGGGGGGGCTGAATGGGGATGCAGGGCCACAAGGGGATGGGGAGAGAGGGGTGGCTGAGTGGAGCGTGCAGGGCCACATGGGGATTGGGGCAGATGTTCCTGGCTGAATGGGAGAGGCTAGGGGTCACCCAGGGCCTGCATGGGGGAGGCTCCCCAACTCCCTAACAACCCCCTCCCCCGCCAAAAACCTTCTCCCAGCCACACCCACCAACCCACCAGGTTCATTCCCAGGCTCCTTCCCTCTCCCTCAGCTCCTCCGTTACCCCGACTCCCCCCAGCCTTTGCACTGCTTCCGAGGGGGGCGGGAATCCAGTTCTGTATTAGAGTGGAAATGAATTACTCAAAGGTTTGTATTAACAGGTCTAGCGAGGATCTATTTGTCAAGAAATGTTTCCTGAAGCTTTGTGTTGTCTGTACTGTTACAGACACAGTTGCTGACTGGTATTTTGAAATTAATTACCAAAATAACTGAAACTGGCGTGATTATACTATGTTACTTTGACAAATAAAATATGCAGAATTTTGCAGAATTTTAAAATATTCTGCACAGAATCTTTAAGTTTTTGGTGCAGAATTCCCCCAGGAGGAATGGGGGAGCTGCCCGGGGCAGGGGGCTCAGAACGGGGCCCAACACCCAACAACAATCCCAACAGCTACAGCCCCACCAACCAGAGTGCAAGCACCTCACCCCACAGGGCAGCAGCCTGGCAAGGATCGGACTCACTGCCTGCCTGCCCTTCGCCCTCCCCGGGGCTCCCCCAGCTGGGTGGCTCAGTTACCTGTTGCTGGCGCGTGGGGTAGTTCTCCAAGGAGGCCTTGTAGAAGGGCCACGTGTCGTGGGTGTAGTCGTACACCCACTCGCAGAAGTGATTGCCGATGTCAAAGCCCCTGCAGGGAGGGGGGTGGGGGGGGTTAGGAGCTTCCATGCTCGCAGGGTTCCAGCCTCCTCATGACCCCGACCCCACCCCACCAGGCAGCCGCAGCAGAGCTGCCCCAATAGCCCCGTGTGGGTCCCACAGCCAAGGGAGAGCACCAGGCCGGGCAGCCGTCCCAACAACCCTGGTGTGACGTTATGAGTGTAATATAATATCTCATTGAAAGGTGACAGGGCCGGAAAGAGTTAATTACCTCCCAGACTGACCTGACCCAGGGCCAAACTTTAGAGACTGGTTAGGAAGATCTGTAAATGAATAGAGCTTTGAAATGCAAGTCTGTATTGTTAGAGATAGAAGGGGAGGTGTTTGCTCAGGTCTTGTGATGTAAGCAAACAAGACTTGTTATTGCTATAGCTTTAATTCAAAGATCAAAAAAGGAATATTAACATTTAGGAAGACACTTGAGGGAAATAGTATTATTGTCTCTATGTCTCTTTGAAGGTTTTGGTAACCTGTATCTGAACTGTTTAATGGATAAATTACCCTGTGATAATTGCCAGGATGTTTGGGAGAAGGAGAATTAAGCCTATTGTTTCCTCAGGCCAAAAGGCTGCTGGAAATGTATAAGAACCCTGGGACACGATCCTGCTTCATCTCAGATCTGCTTTGGGTTTCAAGAGGGAGAAACCTTAAGCCACAAGAATTGAGATCCCCAGTCACTGACTGGAGTCACCCTGAATACGGACATTGGACTATAACCTCTGGACTATTTCTAAAAGGACTTTTGGCAACTACAAGCTCATCTCTGCTATGTATCTGAACCTCAAGAACTGAATTCAAGTCTGTCTGTATATTGATCTTTTAACCAACTCTCTCTCTCTTTTCTTTTTTAATAAATTTTAGTTTAGTTAATAAGAATTGGCTATAGCGTGTATTTTGGGTAAGATCTAAGTTATAATTGAACCTGGGTATGTGGCTGATCCTTTGGGGTTGGAAGAACCTTTTCTTTTATATGATGAGAGAAGATTCTCAGTAATCATCATCATATCTGACAGGTGTGTCTGGACGGAGGCCTGAGGCTGGCCACTTTAAGGGAACTACGTTGTTTGGACTTCTGAGTAACCAGTGAGGTACTACAGAAGCGGTTTTGTGCTGGTTGGTAAATCTAAGTATTGGAATAACCACCAGCGTTTGGGGTTTGTCTGTCCCGTTTTGTTTGCAGTTCACCCTGATTGAGTGACCTCAGCTGGCTCCCACGGGCAGCACCGTCACACCTGTGTAGGTTGCACGGCCCAGGGAGAGCACCAGGCTGGGGAGCCGTCCCCAGAGCCGTCCTGACAGCCCCGCGTGGGCAGCACGGCCCAGGGAGAGCACGGGGCTGGGGAGCCGTCCCCAGAGCCGTCCCGACAGCCCCGCGTGGGCAGCACGGCCCAGGGAGAGCACGGGGCTGGGCAGCCGTCCCCAGAGCCGTCCCGACAGCCCCGCGTGGGCAGCGCGGCCCAGGGAGAGCACCAGGCTGGGGAGCCGTCCCCAGAGCCGTCCCGACAGCCCCGCGTGGGCAGCACGGCCCAGGGAGAGCACCGGGCTGGGGAGCCGTCCCCAGAGCCGTCCCGACAGCCCCGCGTGGGCAGCACGGCCCAGGGAGAGCACCGGGCTGGGGAGCCGTCCCCAGAGCCGTCCCGACAGCCCCGCGCGGGCAGCACGGCCCAGGGAGAGCACTGGGCTGGGCACTGGAGTCCTATACATGCCAGCTGATGGCTCGGCACCACACCCACCCTGCCCCTCCCATCACCCACCTGTAGTTGTAGCTGCTGTATTCAAAGTCAATCAGCATCAGCTTGTCAGTGGGGTGTGACTCCCGCCCAGCCAGCAGCAGGATGTTCCCTGGGAAGGGGAAGGACAGGTGAGAGCAGCTGCCTTGGGAAGCCAGAGCTGGGGGATCCCCTCAGGTCCCATGTAGCCCTGCCCTGGGGCCGAAGCAGGACTGGCCCCTGGGTCAGCCCCCAGGCAGGGCTTAGGCTGCTCCCCGGGACAAGCTGCGCTTAGGCCAGCGAAGTTCCCCCAACCCGACCCCAGAGGGGAGCCACGCTGCAGTGGTGGCTCAGGCACCAGCGGGCCCAAGGCTGGGCTATTCCAGCTGGCAATGCCGACCGTCAACAGGCGACGGGGGCGTCTCACCCCATCACTCACCTTCCTGCACGTCATTGTGGCAGAAGACCACAGGGGACGGCGTGGACTCCAGCAGCTCCCTGGAATTGACGGGGAGAGAGACATCAGCAGACAGCCCACTTCATTCCTCCCACTCCCCCAGGCTCTCCAGCAGGGGGCGGTGCGAGAGGGAACCCCAAGGAGACGCTGACACTCCGACACTGCTAGTTTCTGCCACCCGCTATGCGTCAGCGGTGCCGGGCAGAGACCCGCCCGCCACGGGCACAGGGAGGGGAGCCGGAGCCCACCGCGGGGGAACCGTAGCAGGATGGGAGATGGGGGGTAGGCCCATGGCCTGTTGCGGTGCAGAGCTAGTGGGAACCAGCAGTGAGAGGCACCCCTGAAGGGGTAGAGGGGCACTTTTCCAGCCAGCCCCAACAGCAGTTTGCCCTCCCCCACCCCCACGTGGCTATGGCAGCCCCTCGGGCCCTGGGCTCACCTGAGGCTCCCCATTTCCTTCTGCAGGTTATAGGCTTTGAGCTGGTTGAACTTCTTCCGCTGGGCTTCCTGGGGGAAGGTGAGCTCGGCAATCTGCTTCAGGTACCTGGAGCGCAGGGTCCTGTCACCTCTGCAGGGCAAGGCCCCCCAGCCCTCATCCCCTGGGAGCAAGGGAGACCCCCCCCACCCCTTCCTCCGGGAGCAGTAGGATCGGGTATTCCCCCAACACTCACTCCCCTCCCCATGAGCCCCCCCCCACCTTGCCTCCCCTAGGAGCAGTGAGATGGGGAGCCACCCCCCACTCAGTCTCCCACCCCAGCAGTGAGATGGGGAGGGGCCCCTCCACTCGCCACAAGACAGGGCCCATTATTCTCCCTCCTGGCCCCATGGCAGAGTCCCGGCAGCACTGCATCGGGGGGGGGGGGTACTCCCCTCATGGCTGTTACTGCAGAGTGATGGGGGGTGACTCCTTGCCAGCCACACTCCAGGCCCCCACTCCTGCAGGGGAAGGGGTCCCCGGGGGGACGCAGCTGGTGCTCAGAGGGGCAGGCCAGGACGACCCACAGGCCAGAGAACCCCGGAGCAGTGGGTTACCGGTCCATGGTCCCAAACAGCCACTTGGGCTCCTTGTTGAAGGGCATCACCATGCCGTGGAAGCGGGACATCTTCATCGCTATCTCCCTGGAGATGTCGGGGTCCTGCAGGTCCTCCGTGCGCAGACGCCGGCTCTGGGGGGACATGGCAGGCCTGAGACAGCCTGGCCTCCAGGGAATGGGACAGGGGCAGCAGGGAGCCCAGGGCTCGCTTGGCCTGGCACGGAGCCTCCAGCGCCGGGGGAGGGACAGAGCCCTCTCAGCGTCCCGGGAGCCCACAGGTCTGAGCCAAGCCAGCCAGGACGGGCAGCGAGCCGGGGCACCGCCAGGCACCTGCCACGTGCAGCAGCCATCGGGGGTCACGGAGGAAGAGCCACTTGGGCCTCACCAGCCCTTGAAGTTGGGCAGAGCGGTCTCTGGCCAGTCCGTTAGGGGCCGGGGGGCCTGCATGGGGGAAGGGCAGAGGGTAGGCCCCCCAGCGAGGCCCGTACCGGAATGTATTGCTCCAGGCGCCCCTGGGGAAAGACCCCATAGAGCCGTGGCCCCAGCGTCCGCTCTGCCAGGATGGCAAACATCACGCTCTCTAGCACCAGCGAGTCCACGCCCTGCAGAGACAGAAGGCACGGGTGAGGGGTAGCCACCCCCAAACCTGCGCAGTCGGGGGAGGGGCTGTGGCCCTGGGACTCCCCAACCCTGCACAATAGGGGAGGAGTGACCCCAAGACACTGCTTGATGCCAGGGTGGGGAGGCAGCAAACCCACAATCCACAGCCCACCCCAATGCACAGTCCTGGGGAACCCCACAAAGGAACCCTCACCAGAGAAGGGAGGACGGCATTAACCCCCTCAGCCTTGAACCCTTCGCTGGCCCACGAGTCAGCACCCAGCAGCAACAGCAAACTGGATACAGCCATTTCTCTAGCCCGGAGGGGGCTGCAGGGCTGGGTTAGCAGAGGGGCTGCAGGTGGGGACTGGGGGGCACTAGCACAGCTGGAGGGGGCAGGGCTGGGATAGCAGAGGGGCTGCGGGTTGGGAGTGAGGGGCACTGGCAGAGCTGGGGGGGGCAGGGCTGGGATAGCAGGGGGCT